AAAAAAAAAAAAAAAAAAAAAGAAAGGTAGAGATGCTGGCACGTGAGCCAGCATGTGTCTAGGAGTTAGCACTGCTGTCCCAGGAGGAGGGTGAGCAGCTGGTGGATCCGTGTCCACAAGAGCAGGACAGAGGAAAAAGCCTCACGCTTACATCTGATGGATTTAGGTTAGATGAAGAAGGATTTTGTGGTTAAAGTTCTGAGCACAAGAAGAAAACCCTCCCTCCTTTCCTTTCCGCCCTTCCTGGGAGAACTCCAAGAAGGCGGCTCCCAGAAACATCCCTCTGCGGTGGGGACCAGGGGTTCTGCAGAGGACTTCTCAGGCTGCTGGCCTTGTTCCATCCTTGTCCCAGTTGCTGCTTCTCTGTCACAGCTCCCACGAGAGGCACGTGCATGGTCTGGGTGCGCCAGCCGTGTGTGGATTCATTGTAAGGGATCTCGGGCGTCAAAGCCATGTGCACGTGAGGCACGTTAGCAACTCCTGCTTGCACACAGTCAGTGTAGCCCCTGATCAAACAGGACTCATTCAGTCCCGGCGTTTGCAGCCTCCCTCCCTGAGCCAGTGGTCGTTCCCACTACACCCAGTCCTGGCCTGCTGGCATTTCTTGCCACTTCCCCACACTTTCTACTCAGGTTGCCTGCCCCCTGGGCCTCCAGAGTCTTGGAGCATCTTTTCTCTGGGCTCCTGCCTCCGGTGAAGGCTGTCCTCCAAGCAGCCCGCAGCTTCCCTTGGCTGCTGCCCCCCTGCTCGGCCCCTTCGGCCCCAGGCCACACGTCCAGGCTTTGTGCTCTGTGGTCACTGCTGGCCAGATCCAGCCCTTGTCCCAGCCTCGTCTTCCCCTTCCCAGTGTCGCCCTTTGCCTGCTCCTGGAAACCCTCCCCAGCTGCCCTGTGCTGGCGCTGCCACCTCAGGCTCCCGTGCTCCTTGGCCTTCCCCCTTTTTTCCTGTCCTCGGGGCAATTTCTTCCACTGCCACGTGTGCATCTCAGGCTCCCCAGCTCTGTGCTATGCTCATGTCTCCCTCTGGTCCTTCACACTGAGCCCCGGCTGCCCGCAGACCCCGCTGGAATCCCGTGTGGTCCGCACTCTCTGGTCCGTCCTCATCCCTGCCCTGCTCCTCTGATTGCTGATCACTTACGCCCCCGACTGGGAGCTGTGCTTGACTTTCCCTCCTCCTTAGCTGCACCCTCTACGTAGTCACTAAACCCCACTGAGTCCACTTCCTAAATACTTCAGGGCCAGGAATTGATTTATTTGTATTTAAAAGTGGCAGATGACTGTGCTCAGACTACCATCCGTGAAGGTAGGTAAGGCTCCACGTACCTAGAATTCTGGAGTAGGGCTGGTTGATCTGGGGGCTCCCAGGTTCTTCCCACCGCTCCTCTCCTGCAGCTTCGTCCCTTGGCTGGTTCCTTCTGTCGTGTCCAGTGGCTGCTCCTGCCAACTGGGCTGCCTTTTTCTTGGTTCACGTCCAGTGA